TTCGGTTTACATGGTTCAGTCCAAAATGACTTGACAGCGAGAGAACAAAACGATCTTCAATATGGTGAGAAGAGTCCACGAGGACACTTTTTATGAACGAAACTGTTATGTTAGACGTACCTTCTGCGGCACTAGGGCCTTCCGGCACAGTGGTTTCATTGTTGACGCATGGGCCACGGAGCGTCTGCTGAATGAGGGCGGGGCTTAGCTCCTTGAACTGCTGGCGTGTCACGCCCACGCTGTGATTGACACCAAAGATGTCAAAAAGACCATCAACGGAGAAGCACTGCAGAAGGGTGAAAACCATAAAAGAGAGTGACCGTAATTTATGTCGGCAAGGTGTTCTACCTGAGGTGTGACATTGCTTTAAATAAACGCAAATTCAACATGGTAACACTATAGGCCTATCTTGTCCATAAAACAGAGAAGTTCCATAAGCTAAGGCCGCACTTTATTTTACAGGAATTCCAAAAAATCCTGGAGTGATTCTTTTTTTCCTACTACGTAGCATATATACGAATATCAAGGTTAATGTGTGTAGGGCCTGGGCCAACTGAGTTGACACTAAAGTAAAAAAAAACACACACCTACATAACACCACGAATAATGACATGAGCTATTTTACACGACCCTTTTCAAAGCATTAGTCTCAGAAAACGTGTTGTAAACTAACAGAGTGGACGTCTAAGCTGACTTCCCCTTCGTGGGCGTGGTCATGGTCATGATCGTGGCCTTCGTGGGTGACGGTTGCTGCATTCCGTCTGTCGCGTCGTCTTTCAGCTGACAGTTGGAGGACTGATCTCCTGCGTCTGTGTGCGTGGTCGTGTGGATCCGGAGATACGCTCTCTCCTCCGCTCCCAGCAGAGAGCTTGTCTACAATTTCCTGAAATTCTGTCACGATTAAAAAGAAAACATTTATTTACCCAGACTTTCAGCACATTACTGACTCACCAAACCTCTAAAACATCTCACTAGTCTTTCAACAATAACACTGGTAAACACTCTTGAAGTTTTAAAATAAAATTGGAAATAAATCTTACTTTCTTCACTCAGGTAACCGTCTGTAGCATAAGTATCNGAATATATCCTCCAGGAACGCCTCTGGATCTAACTCGGTGGCGTTACCAATGCAAAACCCACGGACGAGACTGGATATCAAAATGGCCGCCACATTTTCCAGCTCGTGGTCGTCTGCTCCCAATTGGTGGTCGGCTACGGCCGCCTCGAAGACAGTTTCTGCGGTGAAACACTGCATAGAGGACAAAGAATCGAAGCCATTTATGTAATTATTTATCACACGGCTGAAATCGCCGCACTGTTCACGTAATGTATACAGTTTACGTGTCTCGCTTTAGCTTGGTTAATCTCTTCACGTAACGCAATGAGCGCCTTTAGGGAGTCTCGTGTGCATTGCGAGTATGCATTACAATTTTATTTTTATTATTACAAATTGATTTTTTCAAGATTTGCATTGGAGTCATTGGAAAAGGGACGAGACATAAAAACCACCATTGGCGCGTATGTTAAGTCCTGTCGCTGTCTATCTGTTAGTACGTGGCTGAAAACGTGTTTTGCGAGTTGTAAGCAAATTTTCACAGGGCCTATGGCATGGGAAAAGTTGACACCTTGAAATATCGTAGATAACATGTACAGTACAAATATAAAATACCTTGGCAAAGTTATCAGCTTTGTAGGTCGTGGTCACTGCATCTAAAACGTCCTCAAGCTCCTCCTCCGATAGATTCTGCGTGTCGTCTAATCTCGTTAGAACTTTCTGGGCAAAATCTTCGTACGTCAACGCAGACAGATTAGCCGCAGCTGCGCATGCGGAATTCAGGTCGGCTACGTAATACATGAGCACGACGCATGCCCGGTTGAAGTTCTCTTCGTCCAGGCCATGGCTGGGTTGAATGCCAAGAATGGAGAATAAGCTGTCGGTCTCAAGACACTGCATATTGAAACAAGAAAAATTTGCCATCGGTGGTAATTTTTTTCTTGTCGGTTCATTCAATTTACCTCGAATTTTTCTGCAAGTTGTACCTGTCAGGGTCAACTAAAACAAATAGAAAAGCCAAACCAAACACATGAATTTGCATGCAATTCAACACAAGCCAGGTTTATGGAACTCAAGCAACATATATATTAAAGCAAGAAATATGTGCATGGCCGGTCTTCATCGTTCAATGCCAGCTCAGGAGAGTGGACGTAATTAATGTAGGAGCCGTAGACGAGGGTATTATCAGAGTTAATTTAAGACCGGTCAAGCACATATCTATTCCCGTTCCTAAATAGCCTACCTTTACAGTCAGAAAGTCAAAACAAGTATAAATTGTCAAATTTTCGACAATTCTGTTCCACAGTTTTCACTTCATTTTTTTCAAACACCTCTTCGGCTTTTTCATGGTATGTTCCCGTCGCAAGTTGTCATAAACAATCACCTTACATGGAGGTTGGCATCCGCGTGGCACGTACTACGCGAGGTGGTACAGTGCGCGATGAGCCAGTGGCGAGGGACATTAAATCAGCATCTGTTCTCCTTTAGACTTGAAATCAAGTCAGTAATTGGTCAGATGTAATCGATCTTTCTCGCGATACGTACGCGCTAAGGCTCAGCGAGTAGTTTAATAACACGCGGGAACGGTCACACGGTGCAACCTCGCTCCCCAATATGCGTGTCAGACGGTACCCAATTACCGACTTGAACAATCTGCAAGCCCTTTTGTGCACAACATAATGGAGCTTGCTACCAGAATTGGACAGAGCACTCTGATTGGTTAAGAATCCTGATAATATGAATATTTAAGGCAGTTTGATTGGTAAATTGAATGCTTATTAACAACAAACACAGTCTCGTTCTACGAAGAAGGTGTTACATTATACATGTATTCAAAAGATGATTTATCATAAAAGCATCGATTATTTTACCAGAAAAAGATAGTTAATAGGTTGTTCTTGAAAAGTTATGCATACTTTGTCTTTAAAGCGTCGCATTAAAAGGGATATTAATGCAAGATATGAAAGAAACTGGCACTAATCAATTGTAGACATCCCTATAAACAAATGGATGAGTCTGTTATGAAGCGTGAGCTACTATTGGCACTCTACATAGAAATATATGAATCCCGCAGTGCAGTTGTTGCATACATGAACATCTATCCAAAATCAGGTTGATCAAGTCGTTAGGCGGGCACAGGGATCGTGGGTCGACGTGCGCCTAAACCCGGTGTTGAAACAGCTCACAAGCATGGGCAGAATCGGTGCACTGCTAGATGGATCGCTGGCAACAGTGAACGGGTTCAGCACTAATTGTAAAATGACGCAGCATGGTATAGGCGACAAACTCTACCGACTAACGACTTGATTCCTTTGACTGTCTTGACACATGTTCAGGACAGGCCTAGTCTTGGCCCAAGACGTCAGTGATCGATAGTTGTTTTATTTCTGTTGAAGAGCGCCCTCGCACACCTAGATTTTACTTGCTCTCACTAACGTCTTGGAAATCTTGCAAGAATGGGGGTGTGGCAGTTGTATGCAAATGTCCGATCTTCTTAAATATTTATAGCCTTGGTGTTATAATAATGTACATGTACTTCGAAGTTCGAACAACATGGCGGCTTCACGCGGGGCAAGTACAATGTCGATAGTGATCTGGTTTGTGGGAAGGGATTAGACATATTTTTCACTCCATATTAGACATGAAATTGCCACGTTTCTAAAAGATATCGTTGGGGACTACAGTTTGCGGCATCACATCACATTTGCGATGTTTTTGGCAGAAAAATTGGGAAAACAAAATCGTTGTCTGATATCACACAATGAATACGTTCTCGTTTTTTGCAACTCACAATGAGCATGCTGCCTGAGGCCAAATTACTCACACAAGCGGCAAATAAACCTACACGTTCAGCAAGAAAACGACAACCAACTTGCCGTCCGGGTACTCCGTCCTCGAAGGATAAGGTCTATATGGTCTCTAAGGACGCTTTAGTTAGCTGGGGAGGGCATACTGACTGTACATGATTATGGGTCACCAAGAACAGCATCCTCTGTCATCTCCTAGGCCTAACTTAGTCTGAGTATCACCCGCTCCACTCCGTGGTAACTCCGTATGAACGTCTGTGTTGTCATGTCTGTGTTGACGGGACTGCAGACAGCCATGACGCATGTGACCTTACCATGGTGTATTATTGAGGTCATCAAAATTTATTGTGCATGCAGTTTAGCGAGTGCTGATTGGTTCCTTTGGAAAGCCGAGGGAAAAATAAAGAACAAGTTAAAACGCTGCTGCAAGATCCCAAGACGTTAGTGCGAGCTGGCGCAAAGTCTAATTGTGAGTCGTTAGGGGGCGCACTATGCACGGTGCCCGCTATCAAGCACTAACGTCTTGAAACCAAGACTAGGACAGGCCAAGCGCATCTTCATTCCACTTCATAAATACTTCACGAGTCAGGAAGTCAAAACAAATTAAGAAAAATCTTTTTCAAACACCCCTCCATAGCTAAGTTATGGTATGTGCCTTTGCAAGCCGGTGGCTAACTCGTTTAAGACCGGCCCCATGCACCTATGACGGGCTCAGACTGTCTCAGTCATTTATGACATAAGTTTAATATTGGTAAAAAAAACCTGCCATTAGAGGACTGTACAAGATCCAGAGATTTCCAATCATTGCGGGGGGGGGCAGCCCGCCAAGTTCGTTGGCCATTCAGCTCCACGGGTTTATTAGGTCAATACGAGTGAGCTGATCAGCAGCATGTGTCGCTCATGTTTCACCAGCCACTTTCGCCGCAGCTTCGAGCGATCAAACCCCGTGGGTTTTACCTTACCTTTATAAATCGACCGTAGCGAAGTTTCCACGAGCGAGGCCCTGTATTGTCCGTCAATTGTGGAGGACTTAAAGAGAACGTAACTCATCGCAGAATTTTGAAACCTCGAACAGCTCTGTCAGGCCTACCCGGACGACAGCGTTGGGATTCCACACGAGAGGTGACCGCTAACAGGGGGCAGCCCGCAGAATGCCGCGACCACGGCGACGGACATCCACTCCTGCTCGTCTACAGGACGGCGCTCGGCCCAGTAAGAAAGCTCGGCGGGGATCCCGGGCTCCCGCAGTTGTACGGGTAGCTGCGTGCCGGCACACAGCCGCAACGGTTACTCAACGTGGACAGGGAGATGTCAACGACTCCAGTCGCTCGCCACCATCAGTACCTACAGCGGCGCCAACGGAGGTACCTGCAGCACCTTCACTGGGCGTGGTGCAGCACCTTCACTGGGCGCACAGCCAGGAGTCTGTCAGCCAGGGGATGCTACCGCCATGTCCATGGGTCACCAGCCCGTTTGCCCGATGCTGCCAGAACCGGAACTGCAGGGTGGCGGCCTACCTCGAACATCCAGCCAGGCTTCACAAGGGTTGAGTGAGTTTTCCGACGCAAGTTTCATGCACGCCGTAGATAAAGGACATACGCCTAATTTAACCGGGGCCCCGGGATTGAATCTGGCCGGTGCCATTGGTGGGTTCAGTGACGGTGTGGGGTTTACAAATGTTGCAATGGGGTGTCTCCAAGGCGTTTCGACTCCTATTAGGATCTGCATCCTTGTGGGGGGGGGCTAATCTCGCAATCAGTGAAAGAGAAGATATGGAAAAATGAGTGCATCGATATGTCTCTGCTATTTGCAGATAGCGCAGCGTCACTGCTCGCAAAGGCTCATAAGGACCCCGAGGTTGCACTTGTCGTTGAGGGTGACAGGATGTTCCTGCGGCCTAGCTTGTCCCCCACCGGCCGCCAGAACAAGTTAGATTTATGGGACAAGTGGGTCTCTGCATTCCACACTTTTATGGCTATATACCTCATGAAGATTCCCAATAGGGCCATTGAACTGCTTAAGTCCACTGAGATCGTGCGCACAGCCGCAGTACAATTTCCAGGCTATGGGTGGCGATTGTATGACGAACAGTTTCGTCTTCGGCAGGCCACGCAACCCGATCGATCATGGGCTGAGTTGGATGCAGAGTTGTGGTTAACGGTGAGGGCGTCTGCCGTTAGCTCAGCCAGCAACACCGCTCAGATAACTGCCACTCC